AAAGTGTCAATGGATGCAGAATTTTTGGAAGGCAAAATCCCTCAAAATTTTAAATATGCATATTCTATGACCTGCACTCCCCAAACTAGAATTATAGCTTGCAAAAATATTAGAAGACATATGTGAAAACACAAATATGGGGATGCCCTCTGCAGTGTTGTTTCTAATTTTTAAAAAATGGAAAGAAGCTATGGGTCTATCAAGAAAGAAGTAGATAAATTCTTACAGTGCAGTAGTCTCCTGCACATTTAACGGAGGGGAACTATATATGTCCCCACATGAATGAGTCTGTGCACACATGCATGTGTAGTATAGTTCTATTTATATTTTTTTTAAATTATATATATATATATATATGAAAAAATATGCAAATACACCCACCAATCTGTAAACAATGATTGCTTTCAGGAAGTGAGACTTAAATGGAGGAAGTGGATTTCACTTCTTCTGCATACCTATTTACAATTTTAAATTTGTTACAGTAAGCAGGTATTATTATATAAAATACATTTCAAACAGGTAAAAATGATTTCTTAGGAATTGTTTTTTTCTGGATGTGTTTCCTAAGCTCATTTAGTTACACTGCTACTGCTACTGCTGCTGCTAAGTCGCTTCAGTCATGTCCGATTCTGTGCGACCCCAGAGACAGCAGCCCACCAGGCTCCTATGTCCCTGGGATTCTCCAGGCAAGAATACTGGAGTGGGTTGCCATTTCCTTCTCCAATGCATGCAAGTGAAAAGTGAAAGTGAAGTCACTCAGTCGTGTCCAACTCTTCACAACCCCATGGACTGTAGCCTACCAAGCTCCTCCATCCATGGGATTTTCCAGGCAAGAGTACTGGAGTGGGGTGCCATTGCCTTACACATCTCAGTCTTAGTCATTAGACACAGTACAATATACTTGAATTAAATTTGGGCTTTCTTAGATAATAGTGAGAGCTGGACCATAAAAAAGGCTGAGCACCAAAGAATTGATGCCAAAAAAAAAAAAAAAAGAATTGATGCCTTTAAACTATGTTGGAGAAGACTCCTGAGAGTCCCTTGGACAGCAAGGAGATCAAACCAGTCAATCCTAAAGGAAATCAACCCAGAATATTCACTGGAAGAACTGAAGATGAAGCTGAAGCTCTGATACTTTGGCCACCTAATGCAAAGAGCCGACTCGCTAGAAAATACCTAATGCTGGGAAAGATTGAAGGCAGGAGGAGAAGGGGATGACAGAGGATGAGATGGTTGGATGGCATCACCTACTCAATGGACATGAGTTTGAGCAAACTCTGGAAGATAGTGAATGACAGGGAAGCCTGGTGTGCTGCAGTCCATGGGGTCTCAAAGAGTCAGATACAAATGAGCAACTGAACAACAACAAAGTGGAACCCCTTAAGATTAAATCCAGGTAATCTTGATTGGCTTCTTGATGTCCAGAGGGCTTTGGTTTTTTTTTTCAATTTAGTATCTGGTCCTTGAAACTACATTCAAAATCTTTTAGACCCCGGCCTTCAATATTACCTCTAATTAAGAATGTGTTCACAAAAATCTAGGATATCTTTTTCATAAACTGCTGATAAATAAGTCACCCCAATTCTGTATTTAATTTTTTTTAATGTAAAGGCAGATGTTTTCATTTAGTTTTGTTAAGTTTCACCTTGTAATTTTTATTGCCTAATAAGAGTCTGTTACATAATTTCTGTCTTCAACGTAATTTGGGATCTTGCTTTTTATTGTACTAGATACTCCTCTAAATGTTATATGATCTAAAAGTTTAATCACTATGGAGGTTACAAAATTTATAGACATATCTTTTAGAGACTACTCTTTTTAGCTGAGAATGACCAAAACCTATGTGAACTCAAGCACAAAGGAATCTATCAAACGGAGATGGAGGCGTCTTATTGACCACAAGACAGGATGAGACACAAGGCAGAAAATGAGAAACTGTCAAGCAAGAGCAACACTCCCTCCCTCCCCTCTGTCTTTTTCAATCTCTCCACACCTTCTCCTCACTCTCCCCACACTCCCTCACCCCCTACCCTCATCCTTCCCACTGGCCCTTACTGAGTGCAAACAGAACCGGAACAGAACCACAGACCCACAGAGAGTAGGCCAGGGTGAAAGGACCTGCTACCCTCTGCCAGTTAAAGTCCTTTAAAATTTTTTAAAAATTAATTTATCTATTTGGCTTGCCAGGTCTTAGTTGCAGCACTCAGGATCTTCAATCTTCATTGCAGCATGTGGAGTCTTTAGTTGTGGCATGCAAACTCTTAGTTGTGGCATGTGGAATCTAGTTCCTCTACCAAAGATCAAACCCAGGTCCCCTGCGTTGGGAGTGTGGCATCTTAGCCACTGGACCACCAGAGAAGTCCCTGCAACTCTTTACCTGGGCTTTGCATCCAGGCCTCAGGCCCCTTCTAGAGTAACAGTTCCATTTATGTCCTCTGGCTTCCGCTTAAGTCCACTCCCACTGACCCTGAAAGACACTGCAGATGTTCAAAGTCAGCACCTTCCCTCTGGCCCCAGACTAAGGCCCAACTTCTGTTTCCAGGAGGCAGCAGTTTGGGTTATAAGTTCATCCTGCTTCAATCAAAGGGAACAGATTCAGATAGAACAAACATGGCTTCCCAGAGCCATCTGTGGCCAGGTGCAATTCTCAGAGACAGAGGTGTAATGTTGACAACCACCTGATGAGTAAGCACTCCAGCTTTGTTTAACAGAAATATCAGTGGTCACCAAATCCAAGCCTAAGAGACTATGGCTCAGGGCCCCCCAGGCTCAAAGTAGGGGCATGAATTTGAAGGTGAAGAATGGACTACAATTTTAGTGGTTTGGTACACTGGCTTTGGAATCAAGTTGTGGCTCGGATGGTTAAGAATCTGCCTACAATGCAGGAGACCTCAGTTGGGAAGATCCCCTTGAGAAAGGAAAGGCTAGCCACTCCAGTATTCTGGCCTGGAGAATTCCATGGACTGTAGTCCATGGGGTCACAAAGAGTTGGACACGACCGAGTAACTTTCACTTCCACTAGGTATTAATATATATTCCGATCCTGCCATGAACTAGGTATTTTAATCTTGGGCAAACTACTTAATCTCTTTTGGCCTCAGTTTCCTCACCTATAAAATGGCAAAAATAACAGCTAGTCTCATTGACTAGTTGTAGACATTAAATGAGATTATATAGCAGGCTTCCTAGCTCTTAGCAAGCATCTAACAAATGCCAACTATCATTGTTAATATTACATCATCATCTGGCCAATGGGCACACAGGAAGATGCTCAACATCACTATTAGAGAAACACTAAGCAAAATAACAGTGAGATATCACCTCACACTGGTTATAATAGCCACCACTAAAAATTCTACAAATAACAAATGCTGGAGAGGATGTAGAGAAAAGAGAACCCTCCGACACTGTTGGTGGGAATATAAACTGGTATAGCCACTATGGAAAACAATATAGAAGTTCCTCAAAAAACTAAAATTAAAGTTGCCACATGATCCAGCAATCCCACTCCTGGGCTCATATCTGGAGAAAACTGTAATTCGGAAAGATATATGCACCCTTCTGTTCATAGCAGCACTATTCACAATAACCAAGAAGCAGAAACAACCTAAACGTCCATCAACAGATGAATGGACAAAGAAGATGTGGTATACACACAGAAGAACACTACTCAGCCATAAAAAAGCATGAAGTAATGCCATTTGCAGCAACACAGGTAGACTTGGAGATAACCATATGAAGTGAAGTAAGTCAGAAAGAGAAAGACAAATACCATATGATATCAATCATATGTGTAATCTAAAATATGACACAAGTGAATTTATCTATAAAGCAGACTCATAGACATGGAGAACAAACTTGCAGTTGCCAAAGGAAAGGGGAGGTGGGGGAGGAATGGATTAGGAGTTTGGGATTAGCAGATGCAAACTATTCTATATAGAACAGATAAATAACAAGGTCCTACTGCATAGCACAGGGGACTATATTCAATATCCTGTGATAAGCCATAGGGAAAAGAATATGAAGCAGAATATATGTATAACTGAGTCACTTTGCTGTGCAGCAGAAATCAACTATACTTCAATAAAATAGATTTTAAAAATATTACATCACCATCATTATTGGTATGAAGAAATAAATCTGTAACAGTGCAATGAAAGTCAATGGGTTTGACATAATACACCTATTTTTGTGTGTGTGTGTGTGTATATATATATATGTGTGTGTGTGTGTGTGTGATAAAATACAAGATATACAGGATATATAGAGAACAATAGGATATTTAGGATAATGAAAATATAACCTCCCTGTAGTCAGGTATCTCTAGTGTCAGACGCTGCTTGTTACCACATCCTTGCAAGCACTTGCAGGTTTCTACAAGGAGATGCAAAAAACACACAGCTCTCTAGAAATGTCAGCCTTGTCATGTACTGGCATGAGGCAAGAACGCTCTGGAAAAACAGTCCTTTTGTTTAAAATAGAAACTTTGAAGGAAGCCAAATTAACACATGACAAATTACTGAATAGCCAGTTCTTCTGGAGAGGGGAGGGGAAAAAAGCCTCTTCATTTCTGATGAAAAGGGGAACTGCCGCTACCAAAAATCACGTTTCCTTTTCAGTATCATCCTCCAGCCACGCTTGGCGCTAACCGAGTAGGCGATTTCACTTCATCACCACTTCACAAAAGACTTCCAAATCCACTGCAGCAGGCACGGCAAAATAAAGATGTTAAATACATCCTGGCTGGGAGGGGACTGAAGCGCTAGGCTCCATCAAAGGTTTGCAATAATAGGATTCATAAAAAAAAAAAAAAAAACAGATGGGATTAGAAAATGTTGCAGTGAAGACTCTGGAATGAAATGAGATCACAGCACCAGCCTGTCTTTTGTGAACCGGCACAATGATTCCCCGAGCCAGATCGGATTAGGAGACCTCGCGAGTAGGGGTTCAGAGAGAGGCCTCCCATCCCCGGGCACTTTTGGGGAGAGAAGGCTGAAACGATGCATCAGATTTACAGCTGCAGTGATGAAAATATAGAAGTTTTCACCACCGTGATTCCTTCCAAGGGTGAGTAAAATTGCCCTTGACTGTTTCCTTAATGTGGCAGTTTCGGTCAGAGGGTAAAAGACAGTCACATGCTGTTTTACTACGTTTACCCTCAGGTCTCTGAGGTCGGATGGCCTCTGTTGTGATGGTGTTTGTGGTTGTTTCTGAAAAGGGGAGGGGGCACGGATGAACATCAGTCATTGAGAAACAATCCATCAAGGGGGAAAGGAGGGCAGTTAAACACTGAATTCGATACTGGCAAAACCCAATATGCTGAGTAAAACTGACAGCAAGCCATTGTGTCAGGAAACAGGGATGAAAACAAAATTCCCAGGGCAGCTGGAGAGAGACTCTCCTCCAGAGAACAAGAGGGTTCCGAAACGAGAAACAGCTGGCTCTGAAGTATGATTTCTCACTATGCCAGTGAAACGGGAGGAGGGAGCCTGCTGGCAGTGGTCCGATGAAGTGGTTCAAGAATGCCCTGACCCAGGCTGGCCTCCGCACAGACCTCAGGGCCACGTTCCCAAACTTAACGTGGAACTGGCACTGCCAGAGGGTGTGACTTTGTAAAAGCCCTGCTGCTCCAAGGGGAATGGTGTCCAGTCCCAGGCAGGATTCTGTGGCCTTGGATGCTTCCCTCGGCCCACCTGCGGGACTTGGCTCTCTGTCCTGCCACCCTGAGCTCTCCCTACAGCCTCTGTCTTGCTGGGAGAGCCCAGGACCCCCGGCTTAGCCCCGGTCTTGCTGTCAGACTGAATGAAAAGGGCAGAATGTCTGCTGGTGCAGTGACCCCTCTGTTCAAACAACTCCTTTTTTCTCCCCGTGTCAGCCATCAACAGGGTCACTGCTGGGGGGCAGGGAGGGACCCAGCCTGGCCACAGAGAGACAGCCAGCAAAATATAAATTCAGCTTTAGACATCTATTGCCAGTTAGAGGGGGAGAAAAAAGAACTGGGAGTCTGCCCACGTGCTGAAGTTGGGACACTCTGGAGATTTTGGAAGGTACCTGAAAAGTCAAAAGCGACCCTCTGACCCAGCAGTTACAGTCCTGTAAATACATGTGGATGCTCACAGGGCAAAACTGAAAACAGCCTACATGTTCTTAAAGAGGGGAAGGGGTTAAAGGTGGTGTCACCAGACTCTGGAAGACCCCACAGCAGTCACCAGGGATGAACTGGGTCTATGTGTGTGGACACAGGTCCACACTTAACCTCTCTGGGCCTGAGTTTCCAATCTCATACAAAAGGAAGAACTAGAACTGATTTTCCAAGGTTATTATGGGGGGAAATTGAGATATAGACAAAATGTATAAAGCATCTAGAACAGTACCTGGCAGGTAGGAAGCACCATTAAATACATCACTTACAGAGTGATTTCTATTTTTATTCTATATTTACAGCAATGAATAACTTGAAAGCATAACATTGAGAGGGAACAAAGCAGGCTAAAGATTGTTAAATTTGGAAATATAAAACAGTACTATATATTGTTTATAGACACATATCTAGAGAAAAGCATAAAAAAAAAAAAAAACAGGCCAGAAAGACACCAAGTTAGTGAGATTAGTAGCTCTGGAGAGGGAGTAAAGTAGAATTAGAGGTGGATAAGAAGGGGACCAAACCTGCCCTCTCATTTGCTATTTCTTTTGCATGAGAAGAAAACAAATTGAAAGCAAATATGAAAATGCTAAAATGTCTATTTTCTAAAATGTTTTCCATTTAAAAAAAATTTTAAGGGAGAAAATCCTCAAAGCTGAATGGCCCTTGTAAATCAAAAACTTATACAATTCAGGAGGAAAGTCATACTTCACCTGAAGAGAATCATTCAAAACAGGGCCTTTGAATCCATTTGCTTAGCAGACTCATTAAGAGATCCACCACCACTTGTGTGCTGTGTGACCTTGGACAGGCACTCAACCTCTCTGGGCCTGAGTTTCCAATCTTATAAAAAAGGAAGAACTAGAACTTATCTCCTGAGGTTATTATGGCGAGGGGGGTGTGTGGGAGGAGGGCAGGAATTGAGATATAGAAGACATGCAAAGCAATCTAGAACAGTACCTGGCAGGTAGTAAGCACCATTAAATATTGGGTTGGCCAGAAAGTTCATTCAGGGTTTTCCATACGATGCTATGGAAAAACCCAAACAAACTTTTTGGCCAACCCAATGCATCACGTACAATGTAGTTTCTCTCTTTACTCCAGATTTACAGCAGTGAATATGCTTAGTCAAAGATAAATACTCAACCCTGAATTTCTTTCTTGCCATTTTTATTCATGGCCACCTCCAGGTATTAAACCAGTCATCAGTATTCATGGTCATGTCACTGCTCAGGAAGCTGTTCTCTGGGAAAGGGATATTTACAGTTTTATGTTAGACTGTCAGTGGAAGAAGCCTGCCTCTTCCTACACCTTGTTTTGCTTCATCTCACCTTCTCCAGAGCCTCAGGCTCTCAGTGGGAGAAGACGGTGCCTGCCAGGTCTTCCTAAGTCACTGCTTATCAGACAGATCCATAACTCTTCATCCCATTCCCACCTTCCCTGCCTGCAGAAATACAAGTTGGTTTGATTTTCTCTAACAAGGGTTACAGTTCTTCCTGGTGTGCCCTTCCCCAAATGCTCCTGTTTACTGTATTCAATGTGCAATGAACAAAACATTTACGGAGCAAAAGTTCAGAGGCAGAGGCTGTGTTCCATCACCCCAACTGTGTAACCCTAGCCCTCAGTATCTACTTATGAAATAGAGTTAATAAAGAGACCCAATCCCACAGAATTGCTATGAGAAGTGAATAAGAGAAGCCGTCCATCACCTACTAAAGGCCAATGTGAACCATTGTCACACCTATGATTGTATTATATCCCTCTTTCCAACACACACACACACACACACCACACTGGGTTCAACCTAAATCTATGCATTTTTTTAGCTGAGCCATCTTAATTTCTCACAAAAATATGGCAACCAGCAAGTGTTACGGTGTTTAAGTAGTTAAAAGGCACAATACAGAGACCAAGCCTGTAACTGAGGACGAGTGTGTATTTTCACTTCCCAGAGAGAAGGGGAGCCCTTTAAGGGAAAGATTTCACAGGCACAATTCACAGTAAACACAAAAGATAAAAATCTGTGGTTTTACCAAGAAGTTATACCAGAACTTATTTCCTGAAGCTCACCAGTGGGTTTAATTCTAGGGTGAACAGCCTTCAGAATAATTCTCTTGGGAATAAACAACAGGGCAGCGGGTTGGCAAGGGGAACTGGGGAACCGCAGGAGGAAACGGAGAAAACTCCAGAAAGAGAACTCCTGATGGATGCTACAGTCTCTAGATGTGATCACCTATTCCTTCCACCTGCCCTTACCTTGCAGAGAAAGAGGAGAATCTTAATAACCACCGCTAAAGCCAGGGAACTCACTCTTTGTCAGGCACCAGGCTAAGGGCTTGATAAAGTTAGTCCATTTAATCCTCACCGCAGCCCTTGGAGGCGCTTCCCAGGTGGCTTGGGGATAAAGAATTCCCCTGCCAATGCAGGAGGTTCAGTCCCTGGGATGGGAAGATCCCCTGGAGGAGGAAATGGCAACCCACTCCAGTATTCTTGCCTGGAGAATCCCATGGACAGAGGAGCCTGGGGGACTACAGTCCATGGGGTCGCAAAGAGTTAGACATGACTGAGCACGCACGCACACAGCCCTCAGAGATGGCTGCGAGTTCCATGCCCGTCTCCCAGATGAGGACAGGGAGTGAGGATGAGTCACTGAGCCCCGGTCACAGAACTGGCAAGCGGTCAAGCTGGGACTCACACTGAAGTGAAGAGTGGAGACCACTGGCTCAAGCAGTGCCCTGCTCTCCTGGTGTCAGGGCTGCTCTCACTCTGCAGAAAACACCAACAGAGCTCTCACCGGAGCTCTTACCCGACCTCTGACAAGAAGCCATTTCCATTCCAGGCAGGGTAGTGACATGGCAGGATTTCACTTCTAAGTCACTCAACATCAATGTGCAAGAGAGATGACCGGTTGTCTCCACTTTCAACCAAATACATACCTTTTCCCAATCAAGTAACTTTTTATGGCTAATTGACTCTCTGAGATTTTTTTTCACTGTGGTAAAATGTACACAATAAAAACTTTATCATTTAACCATTTTTAAGTGTTCAGTTCTGTGGCATTAAGTCCGTTCACATTGTTGTCCAAACATCACCACTGTCTCTTTCCTGAATTTTTTCATCTTCTCAAACTGATGCTCTGTAGTCATGAAATAATAACCCGCCATTCCTTCCTTTCTCCAGCCCAAGGTTCATCCATGTTAGAGCAAGTTTCAGAATTTCATTCTTTTTTTTTTTTTAAGGCTTAATGATAGTCCATTGTATGTCTTTGCCACATTGAGTTTATCCATTCATTTGTTAATGACTCACTTTTGGGCTGTCATGACTAGTACTGCTCTGAACTTTGTTGCATTTGATCAAGTAACATCTAAAATTGCAGCTGCACCCTTCTCTTCTTCCCATCCCTGCTCCCAGTGCCCTGTCCCACTCCAGGTACAAACCCTCTCAGTATTGCTACTGTAGCTGCATCAGCCTCATGAAATGAAAGTCGCTCAGCTGTGTCCGACTCTTTGCAACCCCATGGACTAGACAGTCCAGGGAATTCTCCAGGCCAGAATATTGGAATGGGTTGCCATTCCTTCCTCCCTTCCCAACCCGGGGATCAAAGCCAGGTCTCCCTCCTTGCAGGTGGCTTCTTTACCGGCTGAGCCACAAAGAAGCTCACAGTCTCACAGGCGTTCTCTAAAACAATTCCTTTCTCTCTTTGCAGTGACCAGTCCAGCCAGAAGAAGAGTCAAAAGCTCGCAACACCTCTTAACCAAGAATGTAAGAAAACTTCCGTTTTGATCCTTTTTGTTGACTTTCATTTAAAAAGCAATGTCTAGCTTCTTCACTCCCCCACTCCAGCCACACTCTTAACAAACAGAAAGGTTTTCTGTAGCCCAGGTTGCTGCTGCATTGTCCATTGTCCACTTAAGCAAAACAACTGACAAATAAACGTCAACCAGACAACAAAAAGCTCTGAACCGGACCCACTTTTGCATCAGATAGTTTTTGTTTTATATATACATTTTCTTTTCTTAAGCAGAATCCATGATATGGGTACAGCATCCCTGATCTAGGTGTTCCCCTATTGTTGGTATTTGTAATATGTCATTTTTTCACTATTATAAATAGCAGTGCAATAAATTTATTTGTACAAAATATTATTGGGGATTAATTCTGTGGTGCATAGGCCTCAAAGTAAAATTAACAAGTGAAAAAAGAGTTTCACCCATCCATCATTGGCATTCTTACTACTGTGCTAAAGTGGACAATATAACAGTGATTTTTAAAAGATGCTTTCTGCTTACAGTTTTGTCCCATATTACCAGGAATTCTGAACAATTGCCAGGCTTCCAACAATGCTTTTCCATATACCTCGAACCTCACCAATATTTGGCTTTCATGCTTTTATATTATTTTTTGCTACTTTAATAAGTACATGCATTACCTTCAAATTAGTGTACATGTCTTTAAAGCCTATGAAATTTCTCATTTTACTTACAGATTTCTTTACACAAAAGCTTTCAATACATCTTTGTACTTTAAAAGTTTTATTTTCAGGGCTAATTGTTCCCTCTTGGTTATACTGGAGTTTCTATTTCTATCATAATTTTTTTGTAGAACACCATTTTGATTTTCTAAGGATCTCAATTTTTAAAATCCTATTCTCCATTAAAAAAAAAAAAAAAACTTTCTAAGTGTCCTGGAAATGAGATAAAGTTTCAGTCATTGTTTTAAATACATTTATTACTTTTTAAATTTCTAAAGCAGTATGTTCCCATTACAGAATTTCAAACACTAAAAAGATGTAAAATATAGTATCAGAAAAATCCTGAGAAGCTGAAGAACTTAGTGGTTAGGTATGTAGACCGGAGTCAAACTACCTGGTTCTTATCCATTTCCTAGTTTTTCATCTCAGTTCTACCCATTTCTAGCTTTGTGACCTTGGGCAAACAGCCCCACCATTCTGGGACTCGACTTTGTTAATGTTAAAATGGGGATAATGGGAGAATATGTCCCAAGAACCATTGGAAGGAACAAATGATTTAATACACATGAAGTCCTCAGGCTTTTCTGGTGACTCAGACAGTAAAGAATCTGCCTGCAATACAGGAGACTGGGGTTCAATCCCTGGGTTGGGGAGATACCCTGGAGAAGAGAATGGCAACCCTCTCCAGTATTCTTACTTGGAGAATCCCATGGACAGAGTCACAGTTCAGAGGGTCACAAAGAGTTGGACACGACTCAGTGACTAACACTTTCACTTTCTTTCTTTCAAGTTCTTAGTCCAAAGCCTGACACATACTGAGCATTCAATAAACACTAGTACTTTTAAGTGAAAATTTCTCATATAACAATACATAGTTCTTATGCTTCATTGCTCAGTTATATGTTGTTTTGCAATTTACTTTATTCACTAAATAAATTTTAAAATCTTTACATGCCAGTTAATACATACAGACCTTCCCCATTCTTTTTAGAGGCTGTATGACATTGTATGAATGTATTATAATTTTTCACTCAATCCAGATCTGAAGTTTTCTAGATTATTTAACCAAATCATCAATAAATGGGGTTTCCCCATTTTTCCACTAAAATAGTGCCACAAGAAATATTCTTGAATGTATTTTCATGTTCTTATGCAAATGTTTTTGAGGGTAAATTCATAGATATGAAAATGCTGGGTCATCAAACCAACACCTTATACTTAAATTTACACAATGCTGTATGTCAATTTTAAAAAAGAAAGAACAAAGCTCAAAGGATATAAACACTGAAAAAATTTTATAGCCATTGCCAAATTCTTAGCAACTGTTCTAAAGTACCTTTACCAGAACAGTTAAACCAATACTATATGGCATCAATGCTGTTATTGACAATCTGATAGGTGAAACTATTTTAATTTGCATTTCTTTAATTATAATATCATTCTTCATTTTTCATAGATTTTGATATTTTTCCCTATGAGTTAAAAGACATGTCTTTTGTCACTTGTATGTCCCTTTTTAAATTGACCTTTGAGAATATTTTATATATTAAGAAAGAAAGGGCTTTTAATGGTTTTTTTGTTGTAAGGCAAGAATTCTTATTTCTCATGATCCCTAAAAACTTAAGCCCACAATCTAGAAAGGAAAGTGATCCTTTTTTAAAAAAATTTTATTTATTTATGTATTTTTGGTTACACTGGGTCTTCACTGCTGCACATGGGCTTTCTCTACTTGCAGCGAGTGGAGGCTACTCTCTAGTTGAGGTGCACGGGCTTCTCATTGCAGTGGCTTCTCTTCTTGCAGAGCATGGGCTCTAGGCCCTCAGGCCTCAGTAGTTGTGGTACACAGGCTTAGTTGCCTCATAGCATGTGGAATCTTCCTGGACCAGGGATCAAACCCATGTTCCCTGCATGGGCAGGTGGATTCTTAACCCCTGCACTACCAGGGATGTCCAGAGCTCCTGAGTTTCAAGAAGCAGCAAGTGTCCCCAAAAATGGAAAAGAGAGGGGTTGTCTGTAGGTAATTTCAACTTTGAGAACAGAATCAAGTTTGGCATTATGGATGGTCCCCAACCTATGATGTCTTTACTTTCATGACTGTTGTCTTTACTATGGTGCCAAAATGAAATGCATTCAGAAACCATACTTGAAATTTTGAATTTCGATTGTTTCCTAGGCTAGCGATACATGGTACAAAATACTTTCTTGTGACGCTGGGCAGTGTAGCAAGCCACAGCCTTCCACCAGCCACACAATCACAAGGATAAACAGGATATACTTACAGCCATTCTGCACCCAGACAACCATTCTGCTTCTCACTTCCAGCAAAGTATTCAACCAATAACATGAGACATTCAATACTTAATAATAAAATAGACTGTGTGAGATGATTTTGCGGAAGTTGATGTAAGTATTCTGAGGCAGGCTCAGCTGTGATGTTTGGCAGATTAGTTGTATAAAATGCATTTTCGACTTAATGATATTTTGAGGGTTTTTATCAGGATGTAACTCCATTGTAAATCAAGAAATATCTGGACTCTGGATTTGAAGGACCACAAATCATTCATGACTCAGGGAAGGTCCTTTGGGAATTAGGAATGTTTGGTTCTCAACCAAGTTCTTGCCTTGAATTCCTAACCGTAAACAATGTTTGTGTCTGAATCACCGCTTATACCAATGTCTACTAGCTTTATGAGGACAGAACTGTGATGATAAAATGGAAACTAAACCATACTTTCTAGGAGGTAAATAGGGTCCTAGGGAAGAAGTTTCTCAAGGGATTCAGAACCTAAACAAAGGAGACAACTCTCCATGGTAGAGGTGAAGACACACAGGCATGAGGTACAGGAAGCCCCCAAAACACGGAGCACTGCCTCCTGGAACAACCAGCTGACTTCAGCCAGGCTCTATAGACAACAGACATGAATCTGAGCAAACTCCAGGTGACAATGCAGGACAGGGGAGCCTGGTGTGCTGCAGTCCATGGGGTCACAAAGAGTTGGACATGACTTAGCGACTAAACAACAACAAAACTCTTTAGAACCAAGCTCTCAGCTTTCCTGGGAATGGAGGTTTCTGAGAAAGACTGCTATGTTTATAGTTTATGACTCCCTCTCTAAAATATTTTTACTTTGAGAAAAAAATGATTCAAGTAGATGAATACATATTAAAAGTTGCTTTTGATTAAAAAAAAAAAACAGAAGTTAGGATCTTGTCTTCAAATATGCAATCTTCCTACAGGTAAGACAGCTTAATAACACTCTCTGGCCTTTGAGCTCTCCTCTGAATTTCTGATTTCCCCTAACTGCCTGACTCATCCTCTGATCATAAAATTCACACTCAGCCATACATTCAAATTAGAAAAGACAGGAAAGGTCTTTTGCAACTGCTCTTACATACCAGTATTTATGACTTTTCCCTGAAATTCTTATTTGCATCTAGTCTCAACCCTTGGGCTATACCATACCATGTCAGTTTTCTTCCTTTACAAATATCTCTTTCCTCTCTGACTCATTCTTAGTGACACAGTTTCTCCCTCTACGGACCCCTCGTAATTTACTTCTTCTACAGTCACACACTGTCCCTTCTCTAGACAGTTTTACTAGTTTTTTCCCCGCACCCCCTCTGATTCTTAGGCAAAGTTATTGACCCTGATGCTGGGAAAGATTGAAAGCAAAAGGAGAAGGGAGCGGCAGAGGATGAGATGGTTGGATAGCATCACCAGCTCAATGGACATGAGTTTCAGCAAACTCCGGGAGATGATGAAGGACAGGGAAGCCTGGCGAGCTACAGCCCATGGGGTCACAAAAAGTTGGACATGACTTAGCAAATGAACAACAACAATTGACATTCTGATCATCCTGATTCTACAGACAACGTAAGAGTAGCTCAAAGGAATAGATTTACACTAAAGCATGGGTCAGTCAGGCCTCTCAGTTCAGTGGAGCCCCTGACACCAGGATTCACAGCCTCCTCATAATAAGCAGTGGCAACACCACAGGAAAGATGGACGAATAAGACTGCAAATGTCACTTTCGCCCCAGATTTCAATCTTGTGGAGAAGGGCTGATCTGATTTTTCTTTCTGGTGCTCTGACTTTTTCAAAATGCACCATGCAAACAATTTGCACTTGAAAATTCTTACCTGGATGTTAGCACTCCCCTAGGACTCATGAAACCATGGTCTGGACCTTGAAGACACAGGTTTCCCCTTGGCCTCAGTCTCCCTGTGTATAAAATTAGAAAGTTGAGCTAGAACTTTGCTATGGATCCTATCAGCCCCTAATGATGATGATCTTCCATCATCTAGGTCCCACCTGTCTTCCTGACTCCCTACCTGCCCTCAAGGTCTCTGACATGAGCCCATCCAGGGAGCATCAACCTATCAGAATATAGCTGTTACACGAGTTCATTGTCTACTTTCAGCCAGCCATTCACTAACCTCAGAAAGGAAAAACCCAACATTAAACACTGGTCTCCCCTTCACCCCTTCACCAGTCTCACTGCTGTGCTCAGGGAGCTAAAGAGCCTGCTCTCAGATCGGTTTGTTCTAAAACTAGCGGCAGTAGGGAACTTAGATTGGGTCCTTTAGACCAGAGAATAAGCGAGGCTGTTGGGAGCCTTCAGAACCAGCTGTCCATTCCCTGGCATGGGCCTAGCACACTATCCCGAGGCCTCTCAGAGCTCCCCAACTGTGTCAGGAGACATAAGCACAAGGCCAGCTGAGAAGGAAATCTGCAGAGGTGAGGCCTCTCCTCTTTCCTTTCCTGCACTGGCATCCTTCAGGGCCAAGAAGATAACCTGTTGAGGGCCAGGGCCCTAGGTCATGACTTGGGAAGAACCCAGCCTCATCCCCACCCCAGGAAACTTGCATCCAGTGGGGCTCCCTCCCCAGTAGCTGAAGCCTCGGCACTCTCTCCTTCCCCCTCCTGTCTCCCCTCCACCCCGCCACAGTGCAGAGAAGGGACTGCAAAGGGGGCCTTTCTTGTTCTTCAAAGGGAACTTTTTAAAAATTTAACTCATTTATTTTGGGCTTCCCTGGTAACTCAGCTGGTAAAAAATCCACCTGCAATGCAGAAGACCCTGGTTCAATTCCTGGGTTGAGAAGATCCCCTGGAAAAGGGATAGGCTAGCCACTTCAGTATTCTTGGGCTTCCCTTGTGGCTCAGATGGTAAAGAATCCAATTAGATCATTTTAATTGGAGGATAATTAATGTACAATATTGTGATGGTTTTTGCCATACATCAACATGAATCAGCCACGGGGATCCTTTTCTGAGGAGGAAATGCTAGACTGCCCCCCTGGACTTCATAGGCTTTCACGTCCCTACTTCCTCCATCTACAACATGGGTTGGAAAACATACCAGTTCTCACTCCTCATTAGAGGAATGCTGAGAGAAGGAAAATAAAATCTAAAATACTTGTGACGAGAGGCTGACAGTCAAAGGCCTTAATGCCAGTAATGGGGCTCCCATCTCTCCCGTTTGACCTGGAAGTCCACATTCGGGGGGGACCCATTGCTGCTGTAGAGTCCATGAGTGCTGCCCCAAGCTTGCTGGAAATCCACCTTGTTGGAAAAGGCTTGCTAGAAAGCCAGCAGAAACACCTCCCTTCTAATCACTTAGCAGTTTATAAACATGTCAACTTAACATACTATACCCCTCAAAAGTATACAATTATATGTGTCAATTATGCCTCAATGAAACCAAGGCGGAAAAGAATATTTTAAATTATTAGGGAAAAACCCCACCTCCAGCAGTGCCTAGAGGAGAAAGGGACCTAATTTTAAATGGTCCTGAATTATCATCAGCTTTCTCCAAAGGCAAAAAATAAATGAGTCTAGTTCCCAAAATGGGCCTGAGAAGATTTAATTTCCTAAGCCAGATATGACTAAATTGGGGATAAATTAATTTTCTAAGCAAAGGACTATTTGTGATGAACTGAAGCGAAGAGTGATAGCTCCCCTTCCTCTGTTGGGGACATGACCACTGGCAGTAGTCACTGGTAGGGAAATGGATGACACGAGGGAAGAGCCTGCTGTGTTCCTGAAATCTCTGTGAATGACCAGCAGTGACTGTGCCCCAACCAGCAAGGATGGTCAAGAGAAGGACACCATTCCACACAGTCTCAAAGTACCAGACTCGGGGTCTGAACTCCTGTTTGCATGACCCCAAATAGAGATTCATCTTCTTCATCATTAACAATCTGATAGGAGAAAAGACAACTTTGTTTTAATTTACATTTAATTATTGTTGTCCAGAATCTTTCATATTTACTGGCCACTGGTATGTCTATTGTCAATTGCCAGCTGGTTTCTGGCCCCATTTTCCTATTGTTTTTTTCTTCTTTATTGATTGGCAAGAGTTTTATGTACACAGGGATAATTCCCTATTATCGGTAACAAATGCTATATTGGGCCATACTCTTGTGTTAGTTTTTTGTTTTTTTAACATTCACCTTTGACCTGTCTGATGCATTTTGGTATGAGAAGTGTGGTCATGAATCCACGTCCCCTAGTGGCCTCATATTTATTAAAGGTCCAATTTTCCTCCACTAAGATAAAATATCACCTTATTGTAATATTTAAAATTCAGTCTTATTTGCTTCAGCTTCAACCGCAATCATTATTTGCAGACAACAGAGGGGAATTCATCAAAGCCTGGACTGTAAGGGCTGAGGTAGGTCCACCTCACTCAGATACACCCAGTGCCAGGATCTAACACAAATGTGCCCTTGCAGTATGTCTGTGCAAGGAAGGAGCAACTGAACAACAGAATAAGTGAATCCAAACCTCAGAGAGGCTGCTGTATAATGATGGAGGTTCCAACCTGCTTCACAGGACTGAACACATTCAAAATGAATGACCCCACTGTCGTTTTCAGCTATGTATAAAAATAGGCAGGATAAGACCCAAAAGCTGTTGAGATTCCCTTTGTCACCTCACTCCCAAATTCAGATAAAATAAAGCACTATTTGTCTCAAAGTTTTACATTTAAATCATTTCAATAATTTAAATTTTTAAAATAATTTTAAAGGCCCATTTTGGTGGACCCTGACAAAAGTGGTATTCTTCTTAATGTACTTTCCCCCAAACAACTATTCAGCAGGTGACCATTGGTGAAAACACTTTAGCAAGTAGCACTCTATTCTAGCTTGCCAGAATTTCCACTTACCAGCCACAAGTCACGGAAATTCATGTCACAGCCCCACCTGACACAGGCATTCTGCAAAGCTGAGGAAGTGTGAGTATCCATGAGCCATGCCTGCTCCTCTTGCCAACAGCTTCTTTCTTTTTACAGCCAGGGTGTCAGGTGGGGCCCAAGTCCTCTCCCTAGGTCTCTCTGATGGAGCATCCAAAAAGCCGTGGCCTACATAAACAAGGGCTCCCACTGAGCTGCAAAGGCTGCAAGACCCCAATTTCCAGAGCCATCCCCATTTCAAGTTGTTGTTGTTGTTCAGTTGCTCAGTCGCTTTCAACTCTTTGCAACCCTGTGGACTGCAGCACCAGGCTTCCCTGTCCTTCCCTGTCTCCTGGAATTTGCTCATACTCATGTCCGCTGAGTTGGTGATGCCATCCAACCATCTCTTCCTCTGCCACCCCCTCCTCGTCCTGCCCTCCATCTTTCCCACAGGGTCTTTTCCAATGAGTCAGCTCTTTCCATTAGGTGGCCAAAATATTCCTGACCTGTTGTGAAACCGTATTTGGCTCTGAGGCAGGGAGTCGGCCTCCACTGGGGGCCTGATGGCCCAGGCTGCTGGCTCTTTGAAGGGACAGCTGGTGGGGAACCTTCAGAAACCTCATCTTCCTGCACCGCGGTACCCCTGGACTTGCTGGAGTACAATACAACGATTCACTGTCTCGGGCCAGTCTCCCCCAGGTTTTCTCACGCTCCCCTCAACAGCGCCAGCAGTTCCATGTTGGCACAAGGTCCCCCTGCAAAGCTGCAGGGCTGGGCCTCTGCTGTGGGTTCTGAGATTCCAGGAGAGGAACAAGGTGACTCACGTCCTTCCTCCTCCCCGCAGGTGGTGGTCGAGTCAGACCTCTACGCGCCGCGGCCCCTGGAGCTGCTGCCGCACCGCACCGACCGCCGCGACGGTGACGGCCGCAGGTCGGGCCGCTTCCAGAACCCGCGGCTGCAGGGTCCCCATCCGGCCAAGACTCCCGCCAGGCCTGGTAGGTGCATCCCGGCCCTGCGGTCCCTGGGACCTCCCTGAGGGGCAGTGACCCACTTAGAGCGGCTGCCACAGTGCCTGCGTCCTGGCTTGGCTTTGCTGCCACCACGTCGCGGTCCTCCCTGGGGTCCTCCATCCGGCCAGGTGGGCGGTGCCTGTGACCTCCATCAGGCCAGGTGAGCGGTGCCTGTGGCTGGAGTGGGGCCGCCGCCTTCCGCAGTGCATGCTGGTCCCGCTCTGAATGCACCTGCTCTCGGCCCCACCCACCGCCGCACCACGAAACACCTTCTGCCTTAAACCACTGGCTTCTGGGTCTGCCTGATGAGCAAAGATGCTCTCATCTACCACCTAGCTCCAGAGGCAGTCCTGCAGGATCCAGGAGGAGATTAAAAATCACTCTATTCTGGAGGAGAGGAAACAGGTGTAGACACGACTCATGAAGTAAAAGAAGCTTACATTAAGCTGTATGTGTGTGTGAAATTATAGACTCATCAGCTGCCATCTTAAAATCCCACTATTTTAAATTTGAATGGCTTTAACTATTTCAACAATTTATAAAAAGAATTTAGAGACAAACTAGTTTTGAAAGTTGGAAACAGAGTCTTACCTTCCACACTATTTTAAAAAAACAGCTCCCACCCCAGCAGTTAAATAGGAATCTGTGTCTAGCTTGCTGAAGTCTTGATGGTGTCTTGCCTTTAATTCCTGGTTTAGTTTATTTCTGTTATGCCCACAGCCTATAGTTATTCATATTTTTAACTCCAGAAATACACAAAAAGTCTTGGGCGTCCTTTTCAAAGCTTTGGAGTGTCAGCTATTTTGTATTTTACAAGAACTGAAATTAGACCCCACTGAGTATGGCTCTTCATCCAACCATCTTCCCTCTTTCCTCCTTCATAGATCTTAGACTAGATTTCTAAAGTTTCTTTGGTCACAAACACACTGATCCTGTTTTTACGAGCCTAAGTATGAGAACCCATAAATCAAGCTATATTCTCTAGTTAAGTGATTACATATATATATATATATCTTTTTTACAGAAAATGAAAGCATGAGGGAAACTACAATTTGCCTTGCAAATTCAGAGGAGATAATTTTTTTCCTCTGTCTATATATAGGTGGGTGGGTGGATGGGTGCCTGTGTGTAGAAGAAAAGGATACCTTCTCCATAAAATCATAAAATGAATTTAGAACCATGTTATTCAAACTTTAATGTACCAGAGAATCACCTGGGAATCTTGTTTTTATGCAGAGTCTAATTCAGGACTGAGTAGGGCCCCAGATATTGTTTCGAATAAGCTTCCAGATGATTCTGACAATGCTGATCCAAGGACAACATATTGATGACCAAGGATTTAGAGACAATCCAATGGGTGGTTCTCAAAGGGGTGTCCCAGGAAGAACAGCAGAATCACCTGGGAACTTGCTTGAAATGCAAACTTTGGGTCCCACCCAAGACCTGTGTAGTCAAATTCTGGGGTAGGTTCAGCCATCTGTCTTAACACGCCTGCTCCCCAATGATTCTATTGACCCCGAAGGTGGAGGCCCACAGATTTCCTGCAAGCGCCCCCTGTGGATCTACAGGAGAGGAAACGGAAACCATGGAAACTAGCTGACCTACGTAGGTCATACCGCTCATTAGCAACAGAACTGAGATTAAATCTCAGGTCTCCTGGTTTCCCAGCTAGTTGCCTCTTCCCCTCCAGAAAATAATGTCTTCCAACTGTCTAGTTTCAGGCAGGCTTTTCAGGCTTTTCTCCCTAAGCAGCCTGTGGAAGCCTGGACTGGAGGAGAGAACACTCAGTTATGAAATGAGGAGACTCTGCCCGACATGTGACAGTCAGCTCATGCAGGGAATGTGCGAGTCAGGTTAAAAAAAAAGCTTGAGCTGGGCATGGATTCAACTCCCTCAGCTCCCACAATCTGACAGATTCCAGGGGAGGGTGAGAGGGAGGGAGGGTGTCTGAGTCAAAGCCAGGCGCCGGTGCTCTCCCCTAGAAAGGCTGGGCACCAGCCTCGGACACAAGTCTGCCATCCTCCTGTGAGAAGGACATGTGTCTCGGCGATCTGACATCCGGAGACCCAGTTCTCTCCTGAGCTACAGGAGAAAGCTCCTGGGTTTGCAGCCTTCTCCTGTGGCAGAAATATGCCCTGAGGAAGCTTAGACATAGCAGGACTCTGAAGGCAGAGGCCCAGCTGAGAAACCCTCTCAGCCTGCAGCCTTGAGCAAGTGAATCTTAGGTGCCCAGGAAAGGGGACACCCCATCTCCTGGGTTGGTGAAACCTCTCCACCAAGGTGGCCTTGGACGTCTCAGAATCAACTTGTTCAAACATTATTGTCTTCCACCTTTAAACCTCTCTTCCTTTCTCAGCTGATATCGCTATCCATCTTTCCAGCAAATCGCTGGGGTATTGACCCAAACCACCTACCATGTCCTCCCCCACCCCTACTCCACACACCAACCACTGACAATGTCAGCTCCTACATAGGTCTCGTCTCTTCTTGGTACCAACCTCAGGCTACCTGGTGAGACTTCCTTCATCCCTGGTGTGTAGCAGCCAACCTTGGTCCTCAGCTGCCAGGCCCTCTCCCTCCACAAGGCTGCTGGAGGGTCCTTCTACAGCAAAATCTGTTATCCCTCTGCATTAAACACTGTGTCCTCCCACCCCAAGCCGCCCTCCAGACCACACCCAAGGCCCTGTAGGACCCAGTCCTCTGCTCCCTCTCCAGGGCCACCTCCTGTGACACTCCTGTCCCCACCAATCCATACACAGAACAATCCTGAGCTGTGACCACTCATTATATTCTGTTATATCCTGGACCTTCCCTGACACTATTCACTCTGTGGGTTGCCCTCCCTGGGTCTCTCTGCCTAACAAACTCCTCCCAGAATGGGTTAGGGATTCCCTCTGTCAAGTTTCCCTAGCCCTGCAAGACAACAAAAGAGGTCAGCTTGCCATTCCCTAAGTCATCCTCACCCAGCTTCATCATAATTGCTGTGCATCTTTAAAGACTGCATTTCCTCACCTATTATTATGTCTACCTGTAAGGACTTCCCCAACAGCTTAGCGGTAAAGAATCCACCTGCAATGCAAGAGAGGCAGGAGATGAGGGTTCGATCCCTGGATCAGGAAGATTCCCCTGGAGGAGGAAATGGCAACCCACTCCAGTATTCTTGCCTGGAGAATCTCATGGACAGAGGAGCCTGGCGAGCTACAGTCTAACAGTCCATGGAGTCACGAAGAGTCGGACATGACTGAGCACAGCACATTGGAGGAGGAGTGAGGATTATAGTGAGGATTAAATGAGATGATGTTTATGTGTCTTACCCTCAGTACAGCACCTGACACAGTAAATATTAAAACATACAAGCTACTGTCATCACTTATGGCAGAGCATGATATGTCAATTGTCTGATCTTCATACCCTGTGACTTCGTTTTATTGGCATTGAGATGTTTTCCTTGGGGTGATGGGCATGTTCTCTATGCTATAGTCTGATAGGATGGAGCTCCACCAGGAACATCTGTCCCAAGAGGGACTCCATCAAAGGCCAGCTTCTGCCTGCCCATCACTAGCTACTCGGCTCAACACCTGGATTCCCAGAAGCGCGGGCCTCAGAAATAAAGGCACAGAAAGAAGGCTTTCACTTACATCTTGGGCCAGTGTCTCAGGACACTGATAACCTCCGATCCTGCCACGTTATGAGACAGGCTCATTTTCACAGAGGTGTGTCCAGGAGCACAGGTTAAATGATTGATCCCCACTGTAAAGACTTAACTCCTGATAATGTCATGTGATGTGACTCCTTAGGAAGGAAGGAGGAGCTAAGGGCACATCCTCTGGGCACCTACTGCAGGCAAACCCCATACTGAACACCTTGACATATGTGGTCTTATTAGACCTTAGTTCTAGCCCCCTGAAGAGTGCCAGTAAATATTTTTGAATATTTACTGTGTCAGGTGATGTGCTGAGTGTAAAACACATAAACATTGTCTCATTTAATGCAGGTGACCCACTTGACAGCCCCATTGCTGACCCTAATTCGTGATTTTGCCACTCGGTAAAAAGGCCCTTAGAAATTCCTGCATCTGTGATTTGATTAACTAACAAGATAATTGATGCAGAACCAGAGGAGGTAGAACACAGAGTACCACCAAGTAACGTCCCCTCCGTTCAACTTTCAGTGGGGACATCGGAACCCAAATCAGCAAATCTGTGTGGGAATCGAACATATGGCAAAGCTTTGGTAAGTAATCTAGCCTGGTTAGCTGTATCTTCCAGGCTTTAAACGTCTCTCCCTATCTGTGCCATGAAGGGAGAATAAGCGTCCTTTGTCCCAGGCCTGGGGGTTACTAGAAAAGCGCAGCTGAGGGTTCTTTGCTCCTAAAGCCCGTCAGCTAGCGGTGCACCACTGACTGCTGATCTCTTTCTTGCCAGATATTCAGCTCTCAGGCAAACAGAAGGTATTACCTAGCGGACATCTCACACAGGGGGAGGGAGGCAGTTTCTGTGGTAAGTCCCTGATGGGTGGAGGGGCCCGTCCAATTCCCAGAAGCAGCTATAGGGGTAAAGAGATGCAAGGGTCTCGAGCTCTGTGAAAGCACAAAACACCATCATCTCAGAGGAAACCACTGAACCGCCTCCCCCGGGAGCACTGAGGCAAGTGTCGTCCACTGGGGTTGCCCGAGATGGATCCAATTGACCAAGGTTTTATATTTTCCCCTGGCTCTGTCATGGTATGCGGGCTTCCCAGGAGGGGGTGCCCTTGGGCGAGGTGGCCCTTGGCGGCCAAGGACACCTGAAGGAGCCAAAAGCCACCTGCGGCCCACCCACCCCTAGTTGCGTGGCTTGTCCTTCCCTGAAGGGGGATCACATAGTGCGTGTCTGGGTCTAGCTCAGCATCACCCTGTGGAAGCACATCTCCCTTGTCATCTTCCAGGCAGGAACTTGGGTACTCTCTGGGTCAGCAGAGAAGGGGTTGAGTGGTGGCTGAAGGAGAGGTCAGCTTGGGCGTCCTGGACTCTGTGGGCATCAGATCTCGAGATTCATGGATCATGAGAGCTAGTACAGAATGGAGAGTGCCTGAGCCACCTGCTTGTCTTTATGAAACAAACTGGGCAGAGATGTGAGTGCTTCGCTCCTGGTCTGGGCAGGAAATCTAATTCAATTATTTCATTTAGGTCATCCCTGTATTAGAAAAATCGCCCAAAGGGCAGCGATGGGACAATCAGGAGCTCCCTGCCTCAAACTGGTACCCAGGGGCAACCCAGGGTGGTTTGGCTGTTGCCGCAGAGTGAGGGTTGTCAGGCTTGACAGCTTGAACTGCTGCCCTCAGCAAGCCCTGACTAAGGGGAAGAGGGCAGTTCATCATCTTGGATGAACGTGCCCTCACCCCTGGAGAGGTAGCTGCAGCCGGGAAGTCAGTGAGAGAGTGGACGGGACAGGGTGGTGATGGAGATGTAATCACAACAGAGGGGCAGCAAGAGGGCAGAGCAGCAGCCTGACTGACCCTTTCCTCTGGGCCTGAGACCATGGGGCTGGGGTCCTGCAGCTCTTTGGAGGCCCACTATCCGAGGGTGGGGAGAGCAATTCAGAGCTCACACAGTCAAATCTGATTGGACATTAATATGCGCTGGAGGAAACAGGATGGAGGACAGTGGGGAAGAAGCGATTTTCTGGCCACTGGCACGACCAGAGGGACAGCTCCCAAGAGGCCACAAGGTGGCACAGTTGCTCTGCCCACAGCCCTGGGCCAGAGCAGGAGAGCAGGGGAAGGATCCTGGTGCCCTTGACCTGGAATTTTCCAGCAATTCCAGGAATGTGGTGACCTTAAGCCTTCCCTGGGGCTTGGGGTGGAGGAGCAAAGGGGAGATCCACTGACTGAGCAAACTCTGGACCTGGCCCTGCTCAGGCCACCAGTTCCTTCTCAACTCAGTACATGTTTCTTGAGCACTCACCACCTCCTTTAAGAGGAGAGCCAGCAGAGGGTTAAGTCCCAGACCCGGATCCAGGCCAAGCCATTCCTGGGGAGACTGCACAAGCAGAGGAAACAGAGAAACATAAAGACACGGAATTGGTGGGTTGCAAAACATAACACACAGGGACTCAGTGCCGTGAGGACAAGAGACGGAGATAAATCAACGTGGGCACCAGCCTAAGGGAAGGCTTCCTGGAGGAAGTGGCCTTGAAGGGCAGGCAGAGATGAGGCTTAATCCAGGGAGTGAAGGAACGGTTGGGTGAGGATGCAGAGTTGTGGGTGAGCATCAGAAAAGGCAGGACCAGCCCCGCGGGGTCATGTGGGGGAAACAGAGGCAGATAAGGGGGAGTCCTGTTTTGAGGAGCCTTAAAGAGCAGCAGGTAAAAAGTCTGCCTGCAATGCAGGGGACTCGGGTTCTATTCCTCAGCCAGGAAGATCCCCTGCAGAAGGAAATGGCAACCCACTCCAGGATTTTTGCTTGAAAAATCCCGTGTACAGAGGAGCCTGGCGGGTTGCCGTCCAGGGGATGATGAGAGAGTCAGACATGAATGAGCTACTGAGCACACACGCACACAGCAGGGGACGGAGCTGACCTTGGTCCGTCCTCGGTGGGGAGACCCTGTGATTCTAGGAGGGGCCTGGGGTGTGGGCAGGTCTGGTGGGAAACAAGGAGATCCTGTCCTGGGTGACTGGCCCTGAGGCTCAGTGGAGGAGAATGTCACTGCACTTGGTCTCATTTCCAAGCGAGAACCTGTAGGATTTGACAACAAAGTGGACACAGATCGTGGGGGTACTAGGGGGAGAGAGGGCTCGGGCTAGAATAAGTTGCTCACTTTAAAGTTTCTCCAAGTGAGTGGTTCCCAAAGTGGGGTCTGGGGACCAGCAGCAATTGAGAACTTGTTAGAAAGGCGGCTTCTCAGGCCAACATCCAACCTACTGAGTCAGAAGCGAGGGTGGGCCCAGAGCTGCGTTGACATGCCCCCCTAGGGGAGCCTAGGGCCCAAGGCGGAGTGAGATCCATTGCCCTAGGTTGATGCCGGTTCAGCAGCTTAGCCAATGCCCTTTCCAATGGCTCCAGCCAGTGCGGGAGCTGGGGACAGGGCAACAACCTCACTCTCCCTTCTCACAACCCAGATGCCTCCGGTGGCCCGGATCTCCGTGAAAGCCCCCACGGTCCTGGAGGCGGCAGCCCCAGGCTCAGAGAATGTAGCTGTGCTAACTAGAGGGTAAGTGCTGTGCCTCCAGCAAGCTCCCAGGAGCTCCCCACCTGCTCCCATCCTCCACCTGCACAGAAGAGTAACAGGTGGCCCGGCTGACAGATCCCAGAGAGATGCTAAAACCAAATCCCTGCCTGCCATAAATGACCTTCTAATGAGGGCTATAATCCCGGGCCTCTATAGCACCTCATTGACTGTTTCACTAGGATTAAGCTCAAGTGTTTTTTGATGGTTTCTACTTCATTACCGCTACTCTTTAGACCTGGAGAAGTGTCATTTGGGAGGAATTTTGGTTAATTAGATAAATTAATCACAGGGCAGGGAGAAGGAACTGGCAACCCATGCCAGTATTTTTGCCTGGAGGATCCCATGGACAGAGGAGCCTGGTGGGCCACAGTCCATGGGGTCTCAAAGAGTCCAACACAACTGAATTACTAACACACACACACACTCACACACACAATCACAGCCCATACGCAGAGCCTCCTGAAATGCCTCACACGTTAGGTTCAGGGCCCCTGCCCAGGTAATAAGTACATAAGATACAAAGGTTTCAAACCAAATTTATGACCTGCATGTCACTATTAAGGCTTCCCTGGTGACTGAGTGGTAAAGAATCTGCCGGCCAATGTAGGAGACAAGGGTTTGATATCTGAATTAGAAAGATCCCCTGGAGAAGGAAGTGGCAACCTACTCCAGTATTCTGGCCTGGGCAGGCCCATGGACAGAGGAGCCTGGCGGGCTGTAGTCCATGGGGTCACAAGAGTGGACAAGACTGAGTGATAAAACTACAACAACCACATTACTATCAACTCTGCTCTAGAACCAGCAGCTAGAATAGCCGGAGCAATACCCACACCCCCAAGGACCACCCCACTGCCTTCAATGGAACTCTAAGAAGATGGCCACACCCCCACCACAATCCTCCAGACTTGGAGGGAGCAGGAAAGTGGCTTCAGGGATGACGAAGAGTGTGGGCTCTTGACTCAGTTTTGCCTGTGTGGCTGGCACTGCCGCTGACTTGCTGTAACTTCAGGCAAGTTATTCAGACCTCTGTGTCCTCATTTCTTTAAAAACAAAACCAAAAAATGGGGATAATTATAACCTCTTGAGGGGTTATTGTGAGAACTGGATGAGATAATGTGTGGAGACCTTGCACCAATGACTGCATCATGTTTCAAGAATATGTGAATGGGAAGGACACGTGCCTGGGGACATGTGCCATGCTCACAGATGAGGGACCATGGGCTATCATATCAGCCCAAGGGGTGCACACCTTAAAAGCTGAGGGAGTTAAAGGAGGACCAAACCAGTGTGAAGCCCTTTTAGATGAAAGAATGCAGTCTAGAACAAACAGTAAAAACCAAGCCATCGACATATCGGGATGTGATGAGAGATAAGTATGATTTCTTTCTCTTTTTTTGCCACACCTTGAGGCATGTGGGAGTTCAGTTCCCCAACCAGGGATAGAACCCACAGCCCCTGCATTGGAAGCACAGGGTCTTAGCCACTGGACCAGCAGAGAAGTCCCAAAATTATCATTTCAATTGCATTAAATTCTGGTAGCAAGTTGTTCTGAGCAGGTAAGGCTGCTGCTGTCAGCTGCAGGACCAGCAAACATGAACCCCCTCAAGAAATGAGCCGTTTGCATCTACTGCAAAGGGTTCTTCTAAATGGCCCCTTTGTCCCTAAGTGTAGATATTCTCATGTCATTTTTTTCCTGGATCCTGGCTATAGAAAAGAAAATAAAGGCTGCTCTTTCACTAAAGGAGAGCAAGTGATGAGGAAAATGAACCTTTATTGAGGTCAACAACGTGCCGGATGCTTTATATAGTCTTATTTCCCTCCTCACAAAACCCCCAAGAGTTAAATGAAATTATCTCCATTCTACACATGAGGAAACTGAGGCTGGCCAAGGTCAAGTCACTGAGGTCCTAGAGTAAGTGGGAGCCAGATTCAGCCCCAGGGCCGATTCACTTTCAAGAGGTGACGATTCGTGACATCTGACCTTTCCAGCAAAATCGTTCAGGTTGAGGGGCGGGGCAGGGGCGGGAGAGTAGAGTTTGGAACAAGAACTGAACTTGAGATCTGTGTGCTAGTGGACCCAGGTCCACCTCCTTACCTTCCGTATGCAAGGACCCCCTGTGGGGCGGGGGGAGGGGTGTCATTCCTGCGTGAGGCCAACAGGGACCTTCCACATGGTCACAGGTTATAAGGGCCCAGAAGGAGCAGGGGCTCCAGCTGTACTTGTCGAGGGCAATAGTTAACAGTCAGGCTCAGCAGAGTGACCGCCCTCCCCACCCACCTCGGCTTTTCTGTAGATCCAGACACCTCAAGAAGATGACTGAAGAATTTCCAACCCTCCCCCAGGGAGCAGAAGCCTCCCTTCCGCTAACAGGAAGTGCTCCCTGCGGCATGCCCAGCATCCTCCGGAAAATGTGGACCAGGCACAAGAAGAAGTCTGAGTACGTGGGAGCTACCAACAGTGCCTTCGAGGCTGACTAAAGATGACCCCCCGGGTCGGGTGCCCTGCGCCGGCCCCAGTTCACTGCACAAAGGGAGGAAACTTCTGGATCGGAACTGAGCCACATATTCACCCTTGCTAGTAGCTGGGCCATGTGTCATCACCCTCTAACACTAACTAATCACCCTGGATGAGGACATGGGACAGGAACCTTCCTAGAAGGCAAGCAAAAGGAAACTGTTCCCTTCTTCGAATCAATAAAGCTGTTGGTCTCAAAGTGACTTTGGGAGGTCATCAAGTTTACATCCCTATGTTTGAGCAAAATGGCACCAAAATCAAACCCATTTTCCCAACCCATTTTAAAGACCTCCAAGGAATCAAGCAGACAATTCCTCAGTCTTCCTTGGGAGTTGTTCTAATTTCTGGTATAAATGTAAAAGTTTGATGTTTGAGGCACTTGTAAACACACTGGTTCTCACTGTTCCTGTTACTGTATTTATTTCATCTTGATGAGGTATGATTTTTAGTGACCAGGCACTTTACATATTTACTTAGTAGTTCTAATATCCACTAGAGGGTATCGTCAAGATCAGTTTTGATGATCATTTGGCATGATTGCATGAATTCTCTATTCTTTTACATGTGATTTTTTTACAGAAAAACATAATTTAAAATTTTGAATGCTAATCTTTTCTGAAGTGGCACAGTCTAGTGGAATTAATAATACCTTGCTTGGGTATGATTATTTTAGCTTTTAAAAGTGTTCTCCCATCCAGCATCTCTGACATTCACAACATTCCTGTTAAAGAAAGCACAAGTATTCCCAGTCTACAGATGGGAAAGCTGAGGCCTTAAGAGGTTATGGAACTAGATACCAGATAATAAATACAGGTCCTCATCCTCTGTACTGGACTGCTTGCTTTGCTTATTCTAGCAGCTGATTTAAGAATATGTCTCTGGGGGCAGTCTTTGAAGGAAGCAAGTTGACAAAGGTAGAACAAGTACATGATATAAATGAAATGCATCATTATGTGTAACACTCAACAAGAAGAAATTCTTGTTTTTGTAGGTTGAAAATAATTATCAATTTCATATGGTTCAACCTAATATATAATATTATGCTATCCTTCTTTTAATGGAAATGTCATCATCAATTCTATCATCAATGTCAATAGCCTTAAACTGATAACGTGATTATGACAGCTACCATTTATTATATGCCTACTGTGTGCCAGGTGTGATTCTGAGCACTTTGCATACATTATCCCAATCTTCCTATCAACTCTGAGTAGGTGGCCTTCTCCATTTAGTAGACACAGCTTTAAAGCAGTTAAATGATAAGTCTGAAGGCACACAACCCATAGCTGGCATCATGGGTTCAATGCCTATGTTGTATCTACTTCTTTCTATAGAATATTCAGAACATAGAGAAGATCCAAGGCTAGTAAATAATCTTCATCTCAAATGCTCAATAAACATAAATGATTGGCACAGGCTGCGTGGAGTGCTGTATGGGGCTGGAATCTGAGAGAAAGGAATGCAGTGATCAATTGGTAATGTCTGCCTGTGGAGCTAATTAATGGGATGTGCCTTGGATATTTGTCATCTGTGGCCTCAAGTCTGCTTCCAGAAGGTTTGTTTTCTAATTCAGAAGCTTAAACAAACCCAACTCATTTAACAAAACCAGCGACTCCATGGCAAAATTTAGTCTGAAACCAGGTTGGAAATTGCCATTTTTTAGTACAAAGGAAACTTTTGTCAACATCACTGGTTTCAGACATAACAGTTATTTACATGCTGCTGCTTCATGGGCACGTGTTGCTTTTTGCTCTGGGAATTACCTGTTCCCATATCTCCAGGTGAAATGTAAGACGGCATCAGGGGCCTGGGCTTTCACCTTGCTGACCTCTGCTCTTCGACTGTTGTTTTAGACTGAACACCCAGTCCTGCCAACAGAACATAACTTGGAGATGTGGACATCAAGGGCTCTTTCAATAAGGGCCACAGTGTACAGTGTAATATTCTTACAGTGAACAGACGAAGGGGCCCAGAACAAAGATAGGGAGGGAACAGGTGATTTATACTGGACCTGTCAGACTATCCTACAACTATTTATTTTAACTTATTTACTTTACTTTACAATCCTCTATTTGTATGTGGCAGCTGGGGATGTATGTAAGATGGAGCTTATTTATTTTTCATTTAAAAATTTCATGATGAAGTATTTGCCTCGTGTAGAACATTTTCATTGGCCAATTCAAATAAAAATAAAGTATGCTTTGTTTGTGACATTAATAAATGCCCACAAGAGTTTGCCTGGGGCTTCTTCACTGAATGGGTGCAGGCTTTCCCAAAAGGAAAGAATTATGTATCTGGACCTCATTGGTCCAGCATGCTCTTTCCATCCAGAGACAATGTCTGGTTTTGATATTACAGCCCTGCCCAGCAGCCAGCACCAGGCTCGTTTCTGCCCAGCCCTGAACCCTGGCTCTCAGGGTTCACTCGCCCCACTGAAATTCTGCCCCCCAGCCCCCACCACAAACCCCAGGGGGCCCAGCGGCCATCGCTCTGTGCCCACCTCCTGGGCAGCCTTCCTGGCGACCGCCCCCGTGACTCACGTCACCACCACTTGCCGGAGAATGCCCAGCCTGGCTGCAAATGGCTGTCCAGGAATGCTGGAGCCTGGAGACCTCTGGAGCCAGAGGCAACAAGGATTCCAAGACATTTAGGGTAATAAAATCGCCTGTGTTAGGACCAAGTCCAGTCACATACTTCGGTTCTTTCTTGCGTGCTCTCTGTGGCAGCCCCTCCCCCACCCGGCCCCTGGAGCAGGCAGATGGGCAGTGGGTAGGAAACGCAGCCACAGCCAGAGTCTGGTTGGAAAAGGAATCATGAGACATGCTGTCTCTAAGTTGGCAGAGACCTCGGACACGCAAGGAAAAGCACAGAAGAAAAGATGACTCTCCTAGGGATTAGGATCGCATTTTAAAAACGTCAGCCTCTTAAAAAAGAGGTTTGTGGCGAAAGCATGGCCATAGTGCAGGTGGAGAGAGTTCATACTGCAGACCAGGCCACATGCCTGGAAAAATACAGTGGAGGGGGAGGTCACTTTGGATGTGGAACAAGACTCACATCTACGTGTGGAGCCCTCGGCCAAGATCACAGGTGTACAGCCAAGTACCAAGGCCACAGATGCAGTGCCCCACCCACGGTCATCTCTAGAACTGACTAAGCCCCATAGCAACCATTGCCACGATCCCCCCTGACCTAAACTGGCCAGCTCCCTGACCCTATATTAGGTAAAAATACTCATCACCTAATGTCACCTTACAGCAGGAATTTTCTTTGTCTTGAGGCTATAAAAATTGGCTACTAGCCCTTGCTTCCCAGGTGGCACTAGTGGTAAAGAACCTGCCTGCCAATGCAGGAGACATAAGAGACGTGGGTTCGATCCCTAGGTTGGGAAGATCCCCTGGATGACAGCATGGCAACCCACTCCAGTATTCTTGCCTGGAGAATCCTGTGGACAGAGGAGCCTGGTGGGCTACAGTCCATGGGGTCGCAAAGAGTCAGACACAACTGAAGTGACTTAGCAGCAGCAGCAGCCCTTGAAATGCATGGACTCTTCTTAAGCAGGCTTGCTGTTCTACTAGCATCTCCCCGCTCTAGCAAAACTGTTCTCTCATTCTGCCCTCATGTTTGGAAATTCTTTTCCAACCCACATGACACTAGTAATGTCCTTTGTTGGGAGGGAGCACGTAGGTTGGGAGGGGCATGTGCTGCCGAGGGAGGGGAACTGACTTGAAGAAGGATTGACGTGGGACTCCATCACTCCTTTGCGCACCTGGTCCAGCCCCTTGTTGGGTCTGCAGGGAGACAAGTACGGAGGCTCAGACCACCTCACCCCTAGGCCCTCCCTCTGGGAAGGTTTCTCTGGGAAACCTCATAAGTCCCAAGCCCTGGGCCAGCCCCTAGGAATATGAGTTGCCATGAGGCTAAACTCCCTTCTCCCCTGGAGGCAAACAGCCAGGGTTTTGTCTGCTGGAGTAAGTGGCAATCCAGCCCTCAGGAGGGAAAGCTACCTGGAATCCTGGGCAAGTGCTGATCCACGTTTCAGACTCCAGCTACATAAGAGAAGGTTGAATTTCCTACTCTCTGACCATCCAGGCCCCAGAGTTCTTGACGGAGAGCCCCCACTCAACACCAGCCAGCTTTGGCTCACAGACACCACGGAGCTTGGGATGAATCGGCAGCCCCTGATGAACAAGACACAGCTATTTCAGAAATCAAGGGCCATAGACAGCGCTTAAAGGGATCGCATTCTCTGGGTGACCACGTTGAGATAGAGGGCAAGAGGCAAAGCAAGCGATGGGAATGGTTGGTGTGTTTCCATCAGGACTAGTCCTAGCCAGAGTAAAACTGGTGACAAAAGCTTGTTCTCGGTTCCTCAGTGTCCGCCCACCCCAACCCAGCCATCTTCCCAGCCTGCATAAATGCACACACCCCCACTTTTTCTTTCTTTCCCCCATTTCCCTCCCCCTGCTCCTTGACCTCTAGTGAAGCCTGAGCCCCCCCAGTGTCCTCTGTCCACCCAGGGCTCCAAGCTCCTTCATCCCAGGAAAGGCCTCCCATCTCAGGTACTCCAATGCTCGGGATATCTCCAACTGCCAGAAACGCTCACTGGCTGTGAAAGCTTGAGAAGCTGTTGAACCTCAGGGAGATTCAGTTTCCACAGGAGTTAAAGAGAAAATGTGATATCTTCCTCCAAATGTCCTGGAAAAGATGCAACGAAATGTGGGCGTGGATATGCAGCCAACATGCAGCAGTATGGCGGTGCACGTGGGAAAGCGGGGCAGCGCTCCCACACACGGTAAAGATCAAAGCCCAGAGCTCCCTGAAGCGCCCACCCACCCAGACCTGGCTGCTCGGCCCCTCCCTGGGCCCCCGGCAGACCACCCTCTGGACCAGCTGCTGGAGGTAACGCCCAGCACCAGGGGGCGTGGGCCCCAGGGCCAACTCAGCGCCAGGGCCAGGGTTGATT